CACCGATCAGCACCAGAGATCTAGAAAACCCACCCTTCATAGTTGAAAATAGCCATCGAGGGGATTTTAGTGGGTAAAACCATACAATCCTGAGTCCCAGAAGCAGAATATCTTTCTTAATGTTCCCTCAAAAAGTTACAATTCAATAAATAATTGCTCGCGACTTCGTTCTCGTGAATTTTAAAATATAGTCTATATTACACACATATTACCTTCCTAACGGTGTAAGAATTTTTTAAAATCGGCCCAGTAGTTTTTGAGTTATTTCAATACATACAAAAATAAAGATCTTTCCTCTTTATAGTAACTAGTATATGTAGATAAAACTCACGTTTAATTACAAGGAGTAATATAACCGTGTGGATTAAACGAAATAACATTATGTTAACTTAACATAACTTTTGTCGCTTAATCTTATTTCATAGCGACAACTTAGTTACACGGAACATTGCAAAAATTAAATGAACATTTAATTATACGAATCATTTGAAATTAATATAGAAAATGTATTTATAGTCCGACAAACTAAGCTGACCCGGGTACGGTCGAATATTGAAAGGACAATTAACTCGTATTACTTAAATTAGCTGTTGCTTGCGTCTTCGCCCGCGTGAAATTAAAAATAAGAAAAAAACATAGCCTGTGTTTCACACACTTCACACACTCTCTTGTCAATGGTGAAAGAATTTTTGATATCGGCCTAGTAGTTTTTACGTGGATCGAATACATACAAAAATACAAATCTTTCCTCTTTATATTACTAGTATATATAAATAAATGCTACATTTAATTCCTTTGAATGTGAATTTAAAACTATCTACATAATTTTACTAACATTACAAATGCGAAAGTTTGGATAGATGGATGTTTGTTAGAGTTTGAAGCCTAAACTGCTTAACGTATGAAATGATGAGATGAAATTTGGCATAGATGTAGATCACATTCTGGAAGAACACATAGGCATATCTACGTTTTTTTTAATTACGCGCAGATCAAGTCGCGGATAAAAACTAGTATTCTAAAAAACGAATAATTCAAAAATAGCCGGATTTCGCTAACCAATGTAAAAATGCCGTCTCATTAACCAGCCACAGACTATACAAAAAATTATCAAACGTCATTTAAAACTCAATAGGTTGAGAAGAGACAGTTTATGAATGTAATTGATTTTAAAAAATTACAATTCAACTTTCGCTAGTAACAATCGTTATTCTGAAGTTACTACTGTTACTGGAATTTAAAATAAAATATCTTAATAAAATTTCAATAGACGCACAGACGTTACGTTTAGAAATGTGACATCATTAATTCTAGGATTTTCCTCGTATGAATAGATGCATTATGAATACAAGAATTATATCACGGAAGTGTATTGAATTTTTTAAAAATATATATGAAATAAGGGAAAAACATATTCATTTCATTATCATCTAGTTAAATTATTTATTTTCAATCTGTAACTCTATTATAGACATTGTTAATTTAGTTTTAAAAGAGACCATTACAGATTAATCTACCAACAGTAAGTTTGTCTAATGGGAATTTCAAAATTTTATAAAAAAATCGTAAATTAAAAAATAGACGCGCCCAACGTGGGGCTCGAACCCACGACCCTGAGATTAAGAGTCTCATGCTCTACCGACTGAGCTAGCCGGGCTGTGAAACCATTTTGCAAATTTAAAATTACATACATCCCTAAAGACTTTAATTTAACCTCCATACATAACCTAAAAAGTACCAATGATTTGCATAGTAGATGACTTTGGCAGAAAGTATTTGCACATTTATGCAACCATATGAAAAACATGACCTGCTTTTCATGCAAAAACAAACATGATATTAATCCGTGATCGCAATCGCTTCCTGGTCATTTTGCACCGGAAATTGCTACGCTACAATTTCGTGTGAACCGAGCACGGGATATTTGCTTGGGATTATCTACTATAAGCTATAAGCTGAATATACCCGTAAACGACAAAACACCCAGCGTTAAAAATAAACTTTGCATAAAAATAGGTTACACAAAAACCGTCATGTTAAATCAATACTAACTACTCCCTTAGTAATTAGGTAATTAATTTTACGTATTCATTTTACTATAGAATCTTTCTATAACACAAGAAGCAAAGTTATCGGCCTGGGTCATACAAAAAAATGCCTTGACCTCGTTATTTCACCAAACTCACGAAGCGTCCTTTTCAAAAACGTCTGAATAGACCTTTACAAAGCCGAACCACAACATTTTGACATCGGATTTCGTGCCGTCATCGTTCGAAGTTTGAACGTGTCCGTGAAGACCCGATGTGACGTCATTTCTTTATATTTGTTCACGTTGAAGGGTTGAAAAGATTTCATTAGCCAAGAGACAGGTCACTGGGGAAATTAATTGAAATTAGATTCCTATGTTTTCTATTAATACTTAAATTTTATTATGTGTATATCCTATAATTTTAGGATTATGCTTCTTGTAGAGAGAGTGTAGAAGTTACTTTTACATATAAAAGTATTTGTTTATATTCTCTATCATGTATGTAGGTCGGCAATGCAAGATGTGAGTTCAAAATCCGAGTGTACGCGAAATTGTAACTACGTCATTTCCGCTTTCGAATGGACGCGTTCAGATTTATTTTCACATTTTCAAAGTTTGATGTTTATACAGATAACGTATTAAGATGTAATTTAGGTTAGCTTTATGTATATAAAACGGACGGTTAGATATTTTTTATACATATTGGATAATATTATTGAATGCAAT